GTCACGAACCTCAGCTTGAAGGGAATCGGTTTTTTGTCGTAAGCACTCATTATCTTCATGCAAAACATTCAAAGCAGAGAGAAGATTAGAGTTAAGTAATTTCAACTCAGCAAAATTGTCATTAGCAGTGTGGGAATTAGGCACTTGCACTTGAGTGGCTTGTTGTTGTTGTAACGAAGAATTATTCGAAGTCATAGACTCGTCTTGTTGATCAGCAGCACACAAACCACAAATGTAGATATTGTCAGCATTATTTAGGTTATTTAAGTCGGCAGGCAGGCTACCAACAACACAACTCAAATGGAAAATTTCTCTGCACTGATCACATTGCACTGAAGTTTGGGCGCGCTCAACTCTATGGCCACAAAAACAGGGCATAATGTAGCAAATATTAGAAAATGATAAGCACAGGAAAAGAAAAACAGAGTCAATGTCTATAACACAATTTTAATTTTAATTTTAATTGTTGTGCGACAAAAAATAAAAGCTCGAATTTAAGAAAAACTTAGAGCGCAGCAAAAACACGTCTGTTCACGACAAACTCTCTCTGTTCACGACAAACTCTCTCTCTGCATACGAGCTGATGCATGCACCTCATCAGCTCCTCGCCGCCGTACTTGAATAGCTCGGCTGGCAGGCCGTCAGCTCCAGCAGCTTTGTTGTTTTTCAGCCGCGTAATCGCTATTCGTACCTCGTCATAGTCAGGCGGTGGGACAGCTACTCCATCATCATCGACTGGGGACTCGGGTTCGTCTTCCTCACTACTTTCAGCGCTGCTACCATTCAGTAGGTTATAAAAGTGTTCCCTCCACACAATTAGCCACTGCGAAAAAATTATTGCTTATAAACAAAGAAACTGCTACTGGATGCACGTTTAATGCACTGGCTTTATATTTTCAAAGAGGCGATCGCACAATTGGATTAATTGTTGAAGAAACGACAAAAGCTAGTTGGAACTCATTAAAAGAGTCATACATGCCGTTGCCAAATGAGGATGGATGGAAAAGTATTGCGAAACGTTTCTCTGATTTATGGCAATTGCCAAACTGCTTGGGCGCCACCGACGGAAAGCACGTCAGAATTGAAAATATCCAAATTCTGGATCGGCCAATTTTAACTATAAAAACTACCATTCAGTAATTCTACTTGGCTGTTGCCATGCCAATGGTTTGTTCACAACAATAGAGTGCGGATTCGCGGGACGGAATAGTGACGGAGGCGTTTTTCGAGTTTCGACGTTTGGACGTTGGTTGGAAAACTGCAGCAATATACCATCTCCAAGTGAACTTCCGCACGACGAAAGTGGCAGTACCTTTCCGTACTACTTTGTTGCGGATAGCGCATTTCCTTTAAGGAAAAATTTGATGCGCCCTTACCCGGAAAGAAACATAAACAACAAGATGCGTATATTCAATTATAGACTCAGTCGCGGTAGGAAAACCATAGAGTGCACTTTCGGAATGATGACAAAGAAATTTGGAGTTTTTTCGACACCTATACGGTGCCAAAAATATGACACCATCATTTCAATAATACAAAGTGCTTGTATCTTACATAATTTTATAAGAAAAAAAGATCGTATATCATATACTACCTTCTTACTTGAAAAAGAAAACCAGCAACGAGTCCAGCGAAATCCGAGTACCTTACCAGAATTCGAAAATTTAAATTTAAATGAAAGTTCTTCTCAACAAAATATACGACATTATTTAAATAATTATTTTTTGTTGCCAAATGTTTCTCTGCCCTGGCAATGAGATTATTGCATATAAAGTAACATTAGGGATGTTCAGGATCTTGTGCATATGCTCTTGCATTTGCATATTCGTTGAATTTGTAAATTCACAACAATAAATGCACTCGGTTGCCATGGCTTCAAGTTTAAAATTTGCAAATGCAATTCCAACTGCAAATCCAAAACCATTTCCACAACATCCTGAACAGCCCTATTGTTTTCATTTTCATCGATTGCTTTCGCGCGAATTGAAGTAAGTATTAAATAAAACAGCACAAAAATAAAAAAAAAGTATTAAGCCAAACCATGGATAGCACAGGATTTATAATGGAGTTTTTCTTATTTCATTTTTAATATATGTATTTGTACGTGTATTTTATTTTATTATTAGCCAGTTTCGCCAGTAATTTACAGACAAATTGGCCCGTAGTCGTAGTCAAAATAAAGTCGACTTTAAAGTTAGTTGCAGCTTTTTGACATAATTTTCAATGGGATAGCTGTCAAAAAAGCTGCAACTAACTTTAAAGTCGACTTTATTTTGACTATGACTACGGGCCATTATTTTTTATTTGAATTTTCTATGAAAACTGACGGAAGGGAAACATCATTTTTGTTTTATATAAATTCTTGAATTCATGTAGCGAAATAATTTTATGATGGAAAAAATGGCGTAAAGTTCCCAACCGTTGAGCTGAGTGGAACTACTCAAATGTGCGTTTCTGAAACAAACACTCAACAGTGTAGCAACAGCTACGTCTTAGAAACGGGCCCAATGACTCCGACATGTTGCGTCAATGACAGAGCGTCACTGGAAGGAGTATATGATCCTAGACGTTCGCAGGAATTAGCTGCAAAATTTTTTATATTTTTCAACACTTCTTCAATATATCGCACACGATCTTCAAAGGTTACACAACTCAAAATGTGGATATTTTTAAATTATGCACTAAAAATGTACACAGAGGTTTTATTTACCTTTTTTCCCCATTTTTTGAAAAAACCTAAGGTTAAGTCTCCCTTGCCCATGTGATTAGCATGTACCACGGAATAATTTTTCGCATCTTCTGACGAACGTGTAATTTTGAGTTGTGTCACTTTTGAAGAACGTGTGTGATATGACTGTATTTTCGAACTACAAATAGTTACTCTTTTTCGCAGGCACTGCAAGTGAATGGGAATATGTTTACTCTACTGACGTCTGCCTCGTTTTGGGAGCACAAAATTGAGTCCACACCTTCTCTTCATTGCTTACTCATCCACTCTTCATAAATGAGTACACATGTAGCTATAATTTAGTTTAATTCTGCTTTATTAAAAATTAAATAAGTAATGAATTTAAAATAATTAATGAATTATGAAATATTGTTTACTGTAACAATTAGGATTTCTGCACATGGGTCGTCCAATCATAGTTGCTTCATCGCCACAATCATGATGCAACGATTACATGACGACTACACTTTCGCACACTATGTCGTGATATTTCAATTCATTTGGCGTCTAAAAATTCACTTGGCGCATGTTTTTTCTGTTTTTCTGGTTGATGTTTTTGCGAAATATTTACAAAACCCTGCATTTTTTAAAATATAGACTGTGCTGCAACAATTCTAGATATCATTTTTCAGTAACATCTCTTCTTTTCTTCTCCTGAAATGTGTTTTGTGCATGCACACAGACACTTTTTACAATTTCGTCATATTTTATAGTTAAAACGCTCACATTTATTGAATTTTAATGCAATTATCCACTTTTTAATAATTTCCACAGGTTTTATGCAAAAAACTAATTTTTATGCAAATATTAAATTTTCACTAATTTTTCCGCATGAATTGTAAACAAACAATGCGTGCACAACGATTAGCAAAGGACAGTGTCGTACTTATCCGTTTCTGCATCTTCTACGATTTGCCGATAACTAGCCGATAACGACAAGTGTGCAGATCTCCTTTGAAATGCATGTGCTCGGCTCAAAATTTCAGGGCGAGACGATAACGCAACTGTGATTGGACGACAAGTGTGCAGATAGCCTTAGACTTTTATGGAAAAATAACAAAACATAAAATAAACAAAAGAAAAATAGGCACAATTGATCAAAATGTTGATGAATTAATCAGCTGATCACAAGTGTATATTGTTACCTTAATTCACAAAGGCCCTAACCAATAGATTTTCCAGGAGAAGCAAAAAACTACTTTTGGTACTTAGAGTGTGTATGTGAATCGGTAACAAAGTTCGCGGCGAGTAAATTTTTGACAACTATGAGGTGAATAAAATTTCAGTAGCTCATGAGGCTAGTGAAATTTTTGACAAATGCAAGAAAATGTTGACAATCGCGAAGATTGTTGATGTGTGTAACTTTTCCATAAATAAAAGCTTAAATGGATGAATTGCAATTGTGGTGACTATCACATAGCCGGAAAAATCTTATGTCGCTGTTAGATGTAAAGAAGTTTATTCAATACGTTTAATTACAACACTGTTGCTTATAATGTTATCGATAAGATAACGAACCGCTAGCAATGGCATGTTATCTCTAACAAATACTGTTTCCGTTTCCTGAAATTTTGCCACGAGCACAGGTGTAACTAGCGAACTTAAAATTAACCATAAATAAACCAGTTGTATGTTAAGGTATTTAATTGGGCTTTCATTTGAGGCAAAGGATACCACACAATCAACGATGTTAGATGTTTTCTTAAAATATTAATTTCACTTCAATTTGTAAAATTTTATTCAATGTAATCAAAAATTTACTGCTGTCAAAAAAGGTTTCATTTCACACAGCAGATTGGCAAAACTGTCGCACGATAGTAAAAATATTATTCAACAGCTTTCCCCATAGAACTTTGTTACCGATTCACACACGCCCTAACTCTTTAAAATTTGTATTGAAGGTGTATTTTAATACATTCTACAAAAACCTGTGAAAACGCTGTTTCGAAAAACTTGTTATTTAGGGCCTTTGTGAATTAAGGTAACGATATGTAAAAATTATGTACATTAAAACTTCATCTCTCACAATTTTAATTAAATAAAAACGGAAAATGAAATGAACACACTAAATCAGAATATATTTTTAGAGTTCTCAAAGCGGTCAAAGTTTTCGATGCATTTTATATGAGGAAAAAGCAACTTTTTGTAGAAATGGTATAGAAGTCTTGAAAATCAATAAATTTCCACCGGAAAACTTTGTTTCTCTAAGGACACCTTCAATAATAATACCCAACTATTTATTTTACCATTTTTTAATAGTTAACATTGTTGGCGCGGCCTAGCAGCAAATGATATTTAAAGTTTTTGTAAATCCCAAGTATGTGGAAACCCTATGTATTGTACTAAATTATTGTAAAATCTGTATAAGTGGCAACGCTGTACCAATATTGCACAAATATGACAGTCATAATGTACGAAAGAAAATAGCGGGCATTCGTGGCTGGCATATTGGAGCAAGAAGGTTGCAATCACACAAATGTGTAAGTAGAAAAATTCAACATTGTTAACCTCGTAATATTCTTTATTATATTTGTCATTCAAATGTACTTCGAACAGGAAATAAAACACAATTCATCTCCATTTATTAATATACTACGCAAATAAGTTGAAGTTTATTTGGAGAGTTTGCGTGAGTCCAGCCACGGATCAACATCTTTTATTTCACATTTTTTTTGTGAAGTACATTTGTCGGAAAAGCAGAATAAGGCACGGTAATAATATTACGTAGCAAAAAAAACTGGCGGCGAATACATGTAAATTGGAGCACGTAATTGAAAGCACGGCATTAAGTACGGTACGTGGTTTTTGGCAAACAACAAAAAAATCTGTGCAAGGAAATTGCGGCAACGGAATCATTCCAGACTTTTCGACAAGTATTCAGGTTGGCTAGCGGAATTTGAAGACAGGTGAGTGCTTTGGGGAAGATGTATGGGGTTGGTTTGTTAGTGTGTTAACTTGTGTGCACGAATAACGGAAACTGCTGATCATAAGAGCACCCAAAGTACAATAGCGGCTTGTTAATATATATGCACTGATGAACATTAGAGTGCGCCAAAAAACATACGGAGGGCCAAAAGAATAATCGCATATGCTGTGCCAAATTTACGCCTATTTTATTGTACTGTATCAAGCTTCGCAAATTATATGTATGCTACTACAAATGGAATGCGCATAGTCAAAAATAATTTATATTGCGAACGATTAACGTGCACCAAAAAGTATATGGCTTAATAGCGAATATTTTATGAGATTTATGGTATTGAAATAAAGAAATTTTTAGATTGTTTGTATGCGGAGTGGCAGTCAATCTGCGCCTCAACTAACTTTATTATATTTACGTTGTTAAAGCAGTTCTAAGGAACAGTAAGTCAATCATTGCCTTGTGAATTATATGTATGCAGATGCTGATCTGCGTCTCAATTTAATTTGATTTATTTGTCCCTGCGTCCCTTAAGAACACTAAGCCGAAAGTTTTCTGGCTATTGAATTATTGTGAGCGGATGTTATCGACACCAGTTGCCCCTGCGTCTTAAGTTATCGACCCAATAGTTGTTGGTTTGCCAATCATTAGGGCTGCTCGAATGCAAACAGGTTTGCGAATTATTGGTGCGGATGCAAAACGTTGACCCGGTGTATAAGCTACATTAACCCTGCGTGTCCTACCCGAAATATTAGTTGTCTGTAGACCTGCGTTACTTATAAATCTGCGTACCTTGCATAGCAAATTTGTGGTTTTCGGTATCGAATAGGGTTTAGGCCTCAGCAAGCACATTTAGCTTAGAATTGGTAATTGAATACGTAAAGACATGCCGAACTTGCGATCTGGAGGTAGGACCAGTGCAACCGAGGAGTGGTTGGACGACTTAAATACAACGATTCAGCAACAACCAGCGGAAACGGGCGAAGCTCAACCAATGACGATGGAGGCTAGACTCGACATGATGCAGCGGCAGATGCAAGACCTACAGGCGGAACTACGGCAGAGTCAGCAACAGCATGAATTGCTAGCAGCGGCTTCTAGACCACCAAGCAACGTGAATGTGGAAAGCGTAAACGGGTCATTGGTAGGGGTGTTAAGTGATCTACATCGAACATTGGCAGACAGCAGAGCAACGCATGGGCGCAAGTTATACGATTTGCCTGAATTCGATGGGCGGCCTGAGGACTGGCCCATGTTTAGGGAGGCGTTTACGATGACCACCGAAGAGTACCACTATAATGATAGGCAAAACATGATGCGCTTGCAAAAAGCCATTAAAGGTCGAGCAAGGGAGGTGGTTGAATGCTTACTAATTCATAGCGGCAACGTGTCTCGCGTTCTTAGCACCCTTGGGGATAGGTTCGGTAGGCCAGAGCAACTGGTGAAAAGCCAAATTGCAAAAATACAGGGTGTAGCTCCTATAGCGGAAAATCGTATCGATCAAATCGTCCCGTTCGCTACGAAAGTACAAAATTTATCATCATTTCTACAGTCTGCTAACTGCGATCATCACCTATCGAACCCCACGCTTATGGATGAACTACTATCGAAATTGCCGGTGCAAAGGCGGATTGACTGGGCCAGGCATGCGTTGACGATAGTACCGAGACCGAACATATGTCATTTCAGCGACTGGTTGCAGGAGCTTTCAAAGTTGGTGCCGAGTGCTATGGTAAACACTAATGCGGATTCCAGGCAGAGCGGGCGAGGCGAAAATCGTACGCGTTTCTTTCACACGCAGGATATAAACAGTGGCAATCGGGATCCTAGCGTATGTGTTCTTTGTAAAGGTAGACACAGTATAAATCGGTGCAAGCGGTTTCTTCATATGCAGGTGGGTCAGCGATGGCGTGTAGTGCGTCAAAATAAATTATGTTTCAATTGTTTGAAAAGCGACCATAGGAGCGGCGATTGCACCGAACAACACAGATGCGACGTGGATAGGTGTACGCGGAAGCAGCATGAACTACTACATTTTCGGCAGCAAGGAAGTACAGATGGTCAGCGTCAATTGGAAACTGCGACGCGGCAACAAGTCCTCACTAATACAATCGTCGACAAACCAAGTTCAAAATTATTGTACAAGATCCTGCCAGTGCGGTTGTACGCCAACGGTCGAGTCATAAGCACCTTTGCCCTCTTCGATGATGGTTCGGCAATCTCGATGATGAACAGCGAATTGGCTGGTCGTCTAGGTCTCAAAGGACAGAAGGAAAACTTAACGCTACAATGGTTTGGTGGTACCACAGTTACGGAGCAGTCAAGCAGGGTCGATGTGGAAATATCCGGAGTTGCAAAATACAACAAAAGGTTTTCGTTGCGGAACGTTAGTACCGTAGCCAATCTTCAACTGCCGGCGCAAACACTCCAGCGGTCAGAGCTGCATTACAGACATCGTCACTTGCCGATCAAGGAGTATGTTGGAGCGGTTCCAGAGCTATTGGTAGGGTTAGATAACGCGCATCTGAGTATTTCAAAGAAAACTGCTGACGATGGAGGGAATGGCTATTCGGTGACGCTCACGAAACTGGGATGGATCGTCTACGGAGGTAATGACCGAGACATTGGAGATAGGCGGCAGTTTGTAAACTTCGTTAAGACAGATGACAGTGCTGAGCGGCTTGAGCGTTTGGTGAGTGAGTACCTAATCAACGAAGATCTCGGAGTTCGCGATGCTGTAGAGGTAGTAGAAGCTGCAGATATTGCTAAAGCAAAAACGTTATTGGAAGAAACAACAGTAAGAAAGGGTTCACACTTTGAGACAGGTTTGCTTTGGAAGCACGCAGATGTAGCCCTACCAGATAGTCGAAAAATGGCAGAGAACCGGAAGTTAGCCCTGGAAAAGAAGTTTAAGCGCGATGAAAATTTTAAGTCTGCATACGTCAAGGTAATAGAGGAATACGAAGCCAAAGGTTATGCGAGGAAGCTGACGCCAGAGGAGATCACGGCAGGAGGGAAGCGTAGCTGGTACCTACCACACTTTGGAGTTTGGAACGCGAACAAACCTGGAAAGATGCGACTTGTATTTGATGCTGCGGCCAAAGTCAACGGTGTGTCATTGAACTCGGCATTGTTAAGTGGGCCGGATCTAAACCAACCACTCGCAACTATTTTGTTGAAATTTCGGGAGAGGCCAGTTGGTGTATGCGCCGATATAGTGGAGATGTTCCACCAAGTCAAGATACGTTCGCAGGATCAAGCAGCACAACGCTTCATATGGAGAACAGACTCTAAGCAGCCATTTGTGGTATATGGCATGGACGTGATGACGTTCGGGGTTACTTGCTCACCGAGCTCGGCCCAGTTCGTAAAAAACAAAAATGCAGAGGAGTTTAGGGAACAATTTCCAGAAGCGGCGAATGCAATAATCAACAATCACTATGTCGACGACTTCGTGCACTGTTTCTCTACCGTCGACAAGGCAATCCGAACAACGAAGCAGGTAGCTTGGATTCATAAACAAGGAGGGTTTGACTTAAAGCGGTTTGTGTCCAACTCTGAACAGCTCATGAAACAAATGAATAACGAAGAAAAGCGTCCCGCCTGCTTGAATCTTGATAGAGATAATGTTGGTATTTTTCAGAAAGTCCTTGGGCTACATTGGGATACGCTTAACGACGATTTTAGATTTGTTCTCTCGTTTGCAAAGGTCGATCCAATTGTGCGGGCTGGGACAAGGAGACCCACAAAACGCGGACTACTGAGCGTCACAATGTCGGTGTTCGATCCGTTCGGAATGGCGGCGGAGTACACTATGGAAGCAAATCTTCTGCTGCAGGCGACTTGGCGAGCTGGTATCGACTGGGATGAACCTATTCCAGATGAATTGCAAGAAGCATGGTTGAGATGGTTGACGGCGATCAAGCGTTTGGAAGAAGTAAGCGTGCCGCGGTGTTACGGATTAGGGTTCCATCAGTTACCAGTCGAATTACACGTATTTGCGGACGCGAGCGAGGTAGCTTATGCAGCGGTAGCGTACTGGAGGTTCCCAGAAGGTACGAGAACTCCAAATCCCATATTCATCTCAGGAAAGGCCAAATGCGCACCATTGAAGCTTACATCAATCCCCCGACTGGAGCTGCAGGCAGCAGTGTTGGCTACACGTCTTCGGAAGAGCATCCTTCAATGTCATGGAAAAATCCCTAAAAGAGTCGTAATGTGGAGCGACTCGAAAACTGTCCTAGCTTGGGTGAAGTCTGACTATTGGCGCTATAAACCATACGTGGCGCATCGTGTTAACGAAATTTTAGAGGCTAGTGATGTAAACGAGTGGCGATGGGTTCCAAGCGCATTAAATCCAGCGGATTGGGGAACGCGTCCGAAGGCCGATAGAAGAAGCTCAACATGGATTAGTGGGCACCCGTTCTTGTCGCAAGACGAAAGCTTATGGCCGTCCAACGAGGTTACCCCGAACACGCAAGATGAGCTAAGAGCGAATTTTTCAGTTTTGACAGTAAATATCGACAATGCCATGTTCACCAAATTTTCATCATTGGTCCGTTTAACAAGAGTGGTAGGCTGGATATTGCGGTTCCAAAACAATTGCCGCAAAGACGCAAGCGAGAAGCGTTCTGGAGGGCTCAGTGCTTTGGAAATAAAGAGCGCGGAAATAGCTATAATCAGCTCGGTACAAAGACAAAGCTTCGCGGACGAATATTGTGCACTGATTGCAGAGAAACAGGTGGAACGCAGCAGCCCCTTGAGGACCCTAACACCGATGTTGGATGAAGAGGGAGTGATACGAGTAGGTGGGCGAATAGATGCAGCAGTAGCCATTCCACCGCATTCACGTAGACCAATAATCTTGCCTAAACGTCACCATGTTACTGCGCTTGTAGTGGATTATTACCACAAAATCTGGAAGCATCAAAACGAAAGTACAATAGTTGCAGAGATACGACGGCGATACTGGATCCCGCAGATCAGAACAGAGGTGCGACGCGCAATGAAAAAATGTCCAGTTTGTATAAAAGAAAAGGCTAAACCAAACCCTCCGCAAATGGGTCAACTTCCACCGGATAGACTTACACCTTTCGTAAGACCATTCACTTACGTAGGTCTTGACTACATGGGTCCGTTTACAGTCGCGATTGGCAGAAGAAGTGAGAAGCGTTGGATTGCGCTATTTACATGCCTTACTGTGCGGGCGGTACATCTGGAGCTCGCAAGGGACTTGACAACGGACACTTGTCTTATGTGTATACGAAATTTTATGAACCGCAGAGGAACGCCGGTGCGCATCAGATCGGACAACGGCACGAACTTCATTGGAGCTGATAAAGAGTTGAGGCGACAGAGAATCGACTTCGATAACGGCGTTATATCTAATGCGCTGGCAAACAAGAACATCGAGTGGGTTTTCAATTGCCCGTTGAATCGCCATGCTGGCGGCTGTTGGGAAAGACTCGTCCGTAGTGTGAAACGCGCCATGGGGCACGCTCTCAACAACGAAAACATCCAGGAGCACTGCCTTTATAGCCTAATGTGCGAAGCGGAGAATATTGTCAACGCAAGACCATTGACGCACATACCGTTGGACGAACACACTGACGAACCGCTAACCCCTAATCATTTTCTCCTAGGTACTCCCAATTCCGAGCAAACGCCACATCCGCAAGAGGAAAAGATGATACCAACCCGAAAAATGTGGTACAAGGTCCAACAAATGCAGCACAGGTTTTGGCGGAAGTGGATAGATGAGTATTTGCCAGACCTAACGAGGCGAACAAAATGGTACGGAGTGCAGAATCCTCTAGCCGTAGGTGATGTCGTCCTCCTATGCGACACCAACGTACATCGCTCCAAGTGGCAGATGGGGCGAATCACACAAGTATTTCCAAGCAAAGACGGGCAAGTAAGAGCCGCGCTAGTGCAAACGAAGGACGGCGTTTACAAACGAGCAGCCTGTATACTGGCCAGGTTAGATTTGGTGAATCTGGGCAGATCCACGGAGGCGGGGATGTTGGCGCGGCCTAGCAGCAAATGATATTTAAAGTTTTTGTAAATCCCAAGTATGTGGAAACCCTATGTATTGTACTAAATTATTGTAAAATCTGTATAAGTGGCAACGCTGTACCAATATTGCACAAATATGACAGTCATAATGTACGAAAGAAAATAGCGGGCATTCGTGGCTGGCATATTGGAGCAAGAAGGTTGCAATCACACAAATGTGTAAGTAGAAAAATTCAACATTGTTAACCTCGTAATATTCTTTATTATATTTGTCATTCAAATGTACTTCGAACAGGAAATAAAACACAATTCATCTCCATTTATTAATATACTACGCAAATAAGTTGAAGTTTATTTGGAGAGTTTGCGTGAGTCCAGCCACGGATCAACAAACATAGTTGCTATTAAAAATAGATTAAATAAGCAATTGGGTATTATTGTTGAAAGTGTCCTGAGAGAAACAAAGTTTTCCGTTGGAAATTTATTTCAAGACTTCTATACCATTTCTACAAAAAGTTGGTTTTTCCTCATATAAAAGGCATCGAGAACTTTGACCGCTTTGAGCACTCTCTAAATATATTCTGATTTCAAAATAAAGAGTAGGAGTATATTTCTTTCAGTATAGAACAATCTTAGAGAGTGGCGGCATTAAAATTCCGACTTTCCTTTTTTTTGGGCCACCCTAGTGTACATACATACATATATTTTTTATCAAAACTATTGTGAGAAGAAAAATGATTGATTCCTACCCAAAGCTTGTGGGTCACTATTGGAGTTGCTGTCGGTTGTGTATATTACTGCTGTTGGAGTTGGTGGATCAATGGGTGAAGAAGCTGGCGTATTCACTTGAATTGTTCCACAAAGAACAAACTGCTGATTCGCAGCTTCTTGCTCCTAATCAGACATCAATTCCTCCAGTAAGAGCAATGTACGGATTTTAAACTGTCTTAAACGCATATCTGAAAGACTCGTTACTTCAGGCAGCAAGCTCAAAAGGAACATTTTACGTGAATCATCGGCCGTCTTCCTTTGGTTTTTTCTTGCAGATAGTTCATCATCGCAAAGTCAACCTCGTCCTTTTCTTCTACTTTCTTCGTTTTCTTTTTTTCCACACTGGTTGGGATATCTTGTGAATGCTTGGATGTTTGCGGCATTACATCGCAATTGAATTCATCATTTTCGGTGCACTCCACATCCTCATAGTGATGGATATCAGAATCTGGCAATATAAAATTACAGGTGGTCTCTGAATGTTGCACAGGTTTCACATATAGCAACACAAAGCTCATTATGTCGTGCAAGTAGTATGGTTTCTTTGATTTAGAAGAAGAGCCACTTGGAGGTGGTTTCAAACTCCTAACAAACCCGTTTCGCATATTTTTCCACTTTTCCTTGCAAACAGCCACTGCGAAGAAATTAACTAAGACACATTTGTTACAGTTTGCCATGGAAGCGGAACTATTCTTTATGAAATAATAATAAACTACAAAACCACAAAAATACAAAAAGATATTTTCTGTGCACTTACCTGACCAGTCCATTTCCAGGGCTATTGCTGCCCAAACTTTTTCAGTTATGTCCTTTCTGGAATATTCCCGCATCGTGTTGTTGTATATGCAAGGATTATTTTCAATAAATTGAACCAATTAAATTGCTTCCTCTGCCATGTTTAATAAAAAATGCAAACGCGCACAACCAAAACTGTCCACAATGTACGGCAAGCGAACAGCACTGCTATACGCTAGGGGATTTGCAGCTCGCTTGCTTTGACGAATACGCGTAGCTGACGACTCGAGTACAGCTCTCCATTTAAACACAAGCGTTCGGCAAAAAAGCGTACGGCATTCGTACATCGCATCTAATACGCGTTTAAAGCCGTACGACCCGTGTGCAGTGTGCCTAATTGTGTTCGAAAACAATTCTGTGTCGAAGGCGAGATAAAAGACGTAAATCGATGTGTGTTTGCAGGAAATATTAGTGGTGTTCATTTAAACAGATAAATTTTCCCTTCGCATATACGTATATTTTTATCAACTGCTTTATATAAACGAGTAAAACAGAATCTTTGGTGCCCCTTATCGAGAAACTTGGGTCCGGTTTAGTTATTTGTACAATGATTTTCGGTTGTTGTGTCCAAACGCATAATCTGAATCCAAAAACTTTAACATCACGTGTAATCAAAGGATAAAAATTTTATTTAAAATAAATGTTTCAACTTTCCGAGCACTATCTTTTTAATAAATTCGGTTTGCACTATGCACTTTTTTTTGCAAATTTCGACGTGGGCTCTGCGCAAAAATACTGTGGATGACGTAGCCGGAGTGTGAGAAGCAAGTGCAACAGGTGATGGACCTAACAAAGTGCATGTCTTCAATGGCTTGGAAGAAGCTGTTTGCATTAACTGGATTGAGAACCAGTTCTTCAGGCATAGGAGTAGTTCAGACTTGTGGTTCAACAATTAAACCAGAAGCTGACATAGACGCGGCCATGGTTACTGTGCCCGACAGCTCCGTATATCTTTGTGAAATTATTCCCATAGCGCGCTCTTACTCCGCTGCTATAATTGCAAATGCAATAGAATCCACCGTTTCCTTCAAAATATGTAAACTCAAACAATTTTACTAAAATTTAGCATTTCATGAGTGTTTTTTTTAATTCCTTTCCACTTTGTTTTCCTTCATTCAGCTATCTTAGAAAAACAACTGTTAGCGGGCAATGCTGCACATGTTTCCGCAAGGGTTGCAGCATGTGGATTTTTCGTTTTTCGTAGCGTAGCTACGAATTACGAATTACGAAAATTCGGGTGCTAGAATAAGGGGGGTACTCTAAACGCCGTTTGCACCATGTCTAGTTAACGCTAACTGGAGGTACATCCTTCAGTTAAGCACGTCAACTGCTTTATCGAGCCCATGTTATATGATGGGTGTCGATAACGTCGATAAAGATGTTTAACTGGGAGTTAGAATTAACTAGACATGGTGCAAACGGCCCTAAGGGCCAGTTTTTAACATGAACCAATTAGAACAGATCTGACGTGTTGAGAAGCAGCCATTTGTAATAGCATTTGAGAAAAAAGTGTGTGTTTTACATCTCTTTCTTTATGTGTATTTCCTAGGTGGTTTATTTCAGTGATTTTTATGCGATTTTCAATAAATTCTTTGTTCAAATGTTATTAAAATGAAATTAAAATGAAGTGCGCGGTAACTGGTTGCAAAAACACGTACAAAAACAATAAATAAATTAGTTAGCACAAACATGCGCAAAAAATTGCTTGCATTTTTTTCTTTATGCTTCGTTTTCATATTCTTTGTTTACTTTTGGTTAATTTGAAAGAAAATAACATGGCGCCGATATTACAGACGTCAGCCAGAAAATTACTTGTTTCTTTTGCTTCATCTTGTCAGAACTTGTGTAGTTGTATCATGGGTTTTCAGTACACGGCCGTGGTTTAAACTAATGCAGGGTTTTTGCTGCATTGAAAATGCAATATTTGGCACTTTCGAACGCGATTCCGAAATGCTTTTAACAAACAGCCGTGTTCCAGTCGCTTATTCTGGTCCGTATCTTTCACGATCGATTCTTATGGAGAAGAAAACACACTGAAAAACCTACTTAAAATGAGAAAAAAAGTTTTAAACCAAAAGTTTAATATAAAAACTTGATCTGTTTTAGCCATAACCAAAGATTTGTTTGGGTATGAATTCATTTGTCGGTGCTATCAATTAAAATTGCCTAAATTATTTATTAAACAAACAAACCCATTGACCATCAACTCAGAATCAAAACAAACATAGTTCATCACAAATTGAGCCTCATTTCTATCAGCGTCGATCACTAAGGGCCGTTTGCACCATGTCTAGTTAACGCTAACTGGAGGTTAAGGTTAAGCTCGTTAACTGCTTTATCGATCACATGTTATATCGATAACGTCGATAAAGATGTTTAACTGGGAGTTAGAATTAACTAGACATGGTGCAAACGGCCCTAAAAGGCAGCTATCAACTGTATACTCGAAAAGGCAATGTTGCCACTTTTGCAATTAAACCATGTTCGAATCGTGGTATTTTTCGAAGATTACAGGGCTGCTTTTAGCATTTAGATCCTTAATGCAGAAATGGAGTTGCATTTGTCTGAGCTAAATGCGCTAAATGTGCTTTTACGCTTCAGCAAAAACAGGCCATAAGTTTAAACGCTCGGTCTGGCTGCTTTAAACTCAGATTAGCCAATCAAATGTCAGCCAGCTGTTCAATTTAAACGCAGCCGAAGTCCGAAAAAATGGAAAGATGCCAACTACCGAACTTGTTTCAGGCTTTGTAGGCTCTTCAGGCGTCGTCTGACAGTTAACATATTCGAACATTAGTACTAGGTTTATGTAGTTACTTCTCCAGTAAAACATTGCAGCGAAAGCGTAAAAGCAAAATAGAGCGTAAAATTGAGAAGAAGAGAATACTAGCAGAAAAAGTTATTGAACACAGAACTAGTAAAAACTTGCAAGTGAATAGTTGTTGCACCGTTTTGATATTCTGCTGTAAACATTTTACTATTTGTAAATCAGTTTTAAACTCTTTGCCTTACACACAAGCACTTACACAGTCCAGTACATCATTAATATTTTGATTTCCACTCATTTTCCTTTTATTTGTGCTAAACTAATTCAACAAATGGCGGCTTTTGACATTTATTCTTCTTCTGCTAGCTAATTACTGCTAGTAAAAATTTCAATCGCAAGAATGTGCAGCTCCCCCATGTTGTTACACTCCCGATTAAGTGCTATCTTGCAAATCTTTTGGGTTATCATATACTTTTCCAATAAAAATTTGCGGGTTCCAGTACAAATTAGTACTTACTATTGGTTACTATACAAAACCTACTGGTAAATATGATTATAGCAAGGTTGTAATCGATATCAGCAAAAGAAAAAAGTAATTTTCTGGCTGACATGTGTAATTTCGGCGGCATGTTATTTTCTGTGAAAAGTAAACAAATACAAGCAATGTTGTAGCACATGTTTGTGCTAACAAATTTATTATTTTTGTAGTGTTTTTGCATCCAATCACCGCGCACTTCATTTTAATTACATTTGCACAAACAATTTATCGAAAATCGCTTAAAAATCACTTAAATAAACCATGGACAAAATACACGTAAAGAAAGGAGCAAAACAGAAATAACAAACTTCAATATTACGAACGTCACACACTTTTTTCTCAATTGCTATTACAAATGGCTGCTTCTCAACCGGACAGATCTGTTCTAATTGGTTCATGACTTATAATATTTTGGATGAATGAACACAAAATTCAGGCAATACAACACAAGTAAAAATTATTAATTATATAAAAATTAAATATGAAAGATGTAAACAAAAGTACTGAATA